CGAGAGGGGCGGTGACAGCAGCGCTGTGAAGGGCTGCACCGACTTTGGGGGCTCGGGGTCTGTCCAGTGGCATTGGCCAGTGGGAGGTGGCAGGTGATAGGACACTCTGTCCTAGTTAACAGAGAACAGCTCAGGGTGACAAGACCCAGGAAACCCCTGTGTGGGCAGAGGTTCAAGTAGAGGGCTCTTTAATCCTGAACCGGGAGAAGCTGTGGGCTACGAAGGAGGACGTTCCTAGCTCAGTGTGGGGCAGTCCCTGTGCACCTTCCAGGAGTAAGTCCTAGACGGCCTCTCCAAGAGGTGGCAATGTGGCCGTTTAGTATTTTCACGAGGATGCAGAGACCTGCCGGGCTCGCCACCTCCCAACCCAGGCCACTCCTCCTCAGCCCTTTCCTACCCCTCCTACTGTGGCTTAGATAAAAGTCCCCAGACACGCTGGCGTCGGGCCCAGATCACATTGTGGTATTCTGTGAAAGCTTACTGCCCTCACTGTGTCCCAGGGTGAAGCTCATGGGCCGTAACGGGCTCAAGGTGGTGGCTCATGGAGGCAACAGTCTCACGAAGACATTTATGATGTCTCAGGAGAGAGACCGTGAGTGCCAGTTCTCATGAGAACTGTTTTTTTTTGTTTTGTTTCACTTTGTTTTTAGCAATTTTTGCTATAGGGTGAATGTGCTCTCCTGTGAGACAGACAGACAGAAAGAGAGCAATCGCCCCAGAGGGATGGCCATGCATTGCCCCTAGTTTCGAGCCTCTGGGTCCGGACTTGAACCGCGGTCAGTCATGTGGGAGTCCAGTGCTGTTACCATAACTCCATCTGCTGGTCCCAAGATCTGCTTGTTCCAAGGCAGAGATCAGTCAGGGCCTCTCCCTCTCTCTCTACACATGCCCACTATCCCCCGAGCTCCCCCTGGCCACGCTGCCAGCCCCGGACGGGGACTTTGCAGCCACCACAATGTGAATTTGCAAATAAACTATCTTCTTTATGAATGCGCCTAAGTTCGGGTGTTTCTGCTTTTTCTTTCCTTTTTTTTTTAAAAAAGATATTTTTGCTATAGGGCATGTGTGCTCACCGGAGAGACAGAGAGACAAAGCAAGAAATCCCCCCTTGGGGTGATGGCCACGCCACAGTCCTCTCCTCTGTGCTCCTCTCGGGATCGTGGGCATGCACGCATGCATGCTCAGAGTGAGGGTTAAGTCCTGGGTTTGGGACTGACACTGCAGTCGCCCACATGGGAGTCCAGCGACGTAACATTATGCCATCTGCTGGTCCCAGGCGTTTCTGTTTTCAGTGTTGTAAGGGATGAGACGCTTTCTGTCCTGACTGACAGTGCCCGGGGTGGGGCTGGCCTGGCGTGACGGCTGCTCACCCGTTTTAGATGCGGCCTCTGCGGCAAAGTCGGCGGCGAACTTCTTGAGGACCTCGGCGCTGTCCTCCTTCACGAAGAGGCCGATGAAGTTGGAGGAGGTATAGAGCTCCAGAGGCAGGGGGGCCGAGAACTTGCACTTCCAGCGGCTGACGGTAGCCTGCAGGGCTTCCCCCAGGGCGTCCACCTTGCTGTCCTCGCACTGGCAGGGGAGAGAGGGGGCTTTGGTCAGGGACAGGAGACAGAGCGGTCTGCTCTACTTAACGCCTAATCCTCACCCTGGAGGCAGGAGGCTGAAATGCAGGATCGCTCCTGTGCCCCAGGAGGGAGGAGGACGCAGACCCCCAGTCCTCCCGAGTAACCCCGGTCAGTGACATGGATGAGCACATCACCCCTCCCTCCTTCCCTTGATCTGAAGTAGCCCCTTGAACCCAGGCAAAATTCGGCAGGGCTGACCCAGCAGAGCAGAGCGGGCGGAGGAGCTCCTGGCCAAAGGACACAGCGTTCCAATTAGACAGGAAGGGTAGGCTCAAGGGAACGTCCAGAGTGTGGGGACTCCGGGTGATGGCAACCGGCTGTCCTTGAACACTGCTGCGACAGGGGGTCTGCAGCGTTCTCGCCACAGACACACGGTGTGCGAGGTGCGCATATGCTAATTAGCGTGACGCAGCAGTTCTGTGACACATGGATCCATCAGACCAGCATGTGTCATACCACCCATACATACATGTCTTACTCGTCAACTGAAAAACCAAATGTTCTTTTGCTCACGAATACAATAAAAAAGAAACTAAAATGGAACGCAGGACGGGGCAGGCAGGAACACAGCATCCGGGGACGTGGTGTGTGTTCCCCGCTGTGCCGCACGCTCTGTACTTTCCCATCCACACCGGCTGATCACGAGCTGACTGTGTCCACCCCCACGGGAGCCGGGAAGACTGGGGCTCAGAGCTGCGATGCCACCCTCCTACCCCCTTCAGAGCACCGGGAGAAAGAATGAGTGTCTCGAAAACCCTGAATGTTTTTGACAAAGATGCTGGGATGACTAAGAGGAAATGATAGTCACTTTAATTTTCAAGTGAATGACAAAACGGAAGGTGTGAAGAACATATTTTTACCTAAAAGATAGAGCAAATGAATAGATCTCAAAAAAAAAAGAAAGAAAATGTATTTTTTAAAAATGATCTTCAAGGGGCCAGCAGGTGGCGTAGTGGTTAAGGTGCTAGACTCCCACGTGGTCGAGCACAGTTCCAGTCCCAGACCTGGCGGCTTGCTGTCTCACTTTCTCTCTTTCTCTCTCTCTGTCTCTCTCTGATGAGTGTACGTGTCCTGTAGCAAATTTAAATAAATAAATAAATCGAAATAAAGAAGTATTTTTTAAAAATTATCTTAACATGCTACCATTCTGCTTTGCCTGGAAGATACACGGACACAGTAATTCGTCCCCACCAGCAGAGCTGACGCAGGGGGATGGATTTGCACTTTCTAAAACGAGGGGGATTTAACTCGGTCACTGAACACGTTTTTGGACAGCTAGGATGGCAGGTTAGGTAACTCTGGCAGGTAAAAGGGATCTTTGCTTTCTCTAGAGGGACCTAGTGACCGGGAGCCGGGTAACGCCATGCTCCCAGAGTGACCCAGTGGGGAGGCTCCTCCCTGAATACACAAGAGCATGTGCCGGTGACTGGGGCTGGCAGGAGCTGTCTACTTAACGCCTAATCCTCACCCTGGAGGCAGGAGGCTGAAATGCAGGATCGCTCCTGTGCCCCAGGAGGGAGGAGGACGCAGACCCCCAGTCCTCCCGAGTAACCCCGGTCAGTGACATGGATGAGCACATCACCCCTCCCTCCTTCCCTTGATCTGAAGTAGCCCCTTGAACCCAGGCAAAATTCGGCAGGGCTGACCCAGCAGAGCAGAGCGGGCGGAGGAGCTCCTGGCCAAAGGACACAGCGTTCCAATTAGACAGGAAGGGTAGGCTCAAGGGAACGTCCAGAGTGTGGGGACTCCGGGTGATGGCAACCGGCTGTCCTTGAACACTGCTGCGACAGGGGGTCTGCAGCGTTCTCGCCACAGACACACGGTGTGCGAGGTGCGCATATGCTAATTAGCGTGACGCAGCAGTTCTGTGACACATGGATCCATCAGACCAGCATGTGTCATACCACCCATACATACATGTCTTACTCGTCAACTGAAAAACCAAATGTTCTTTTGCTCACGAATACAATAAAAAAGAAACTAAAATGGAACGCAGGACGGGGCAGGCAGGAACACAGCATCCGGGGACGTGGTGTGTGTTCCCCGCTGTGCCGCACGCTCTGTACTTTCCCATCCACACCGGCTGATCACGAGCTGACTGTGTCCACCCCCACGGGAGCCGGGAAGACTGGGGCTCAGAGCTGCGATGCCACCCTCCTACCCCCTTCAGAGCACCGGGAGAAAGAATGAGTGTCTCGAAAACCCTGAATGTTTTTGACAAAGATGCTGGGATGACTAAGAGGAAATGATAGTCACTTTAATTTTCAAGTGAATGACAAAACGGAAGGTGTGAAGAACATATTTTTACCTAAAAGATAGAGCAAATGAATAGATCTCAAAAAAAAAAGAAAGAAAATGTATTTTTTAAAAATGATCTTCAAGGGGCCAGCAGGTGGCGTAGTGGTTAAGGTGCTAGACTCCCACATGGTCGAGCACAGTTCCAGTCCCAGACCTGGCGGCTTGCTGTCTCACTTTCTCTCTTTCTCTCTCTCTGTCTCTCTCTGATGAGTGTACGTGTCCTGTAGCAAATTTAAATAAATAAATAAATCGAAATAAAGAAGTATTTTTTAAAAATTATCTTAACATGCTACCATTCTGCTTTGCCTGGAAGATACACGGACACAGTAATTCGTCCCCACCAGCAGAGCTGACGCAGGGGGATGGATTTGCACTTTCTAAAACGAGGGGGATTTAACTCGGTCACTGAACACGTTTTTGGACAGCTAGGATGGCAGGTTAGGTAACTCTGGCAGGTAAAAGGGATCTTTGCTTTCTCTAGAGGGACCTAGTGACCGGGAGCCGGGTAACGCCATGCTCCCAGAGTGACCCAGTGGGGAGGCTCCTCCCTGAATACACAAGAGCATGTGCCGGTGACTGGGGCTGGCAGGAGCTGGGGTGGACCCTGGGGTGGGGCGACCAGGTGGGGTGCTCCCTCCCTGTCTCTTTCCGCTGTCACTCATGGAAGAACTACATGAATAAACCCAGAAGAGTGACCTAGTGAAGGAAAATTTGTGGGTGACGTCCACAGGCTGCGATCTGTCCCTGTCTACAGACTGCACTCCTGTTCCTGGCTCTCAGTCTCTCCTCTGCCGGCCTCGGCGTGTGCAGTGTAGACGAGGGCCAGCTCGCCCAGGGTCCTAGGAGCGGTGTGGCGGTGCGCAAAGCTGGAGCTAGGGGATGCAGCGAGACCTTGCAGGAGCCACTGTGCGGCCTCGCAGGTCCAGCCTGCTCTGGGAGCCCCTCAGTACCCTGCCGTCTTTGGGGAGGCTCCGGGGGGCTGCTGGGACGCGGGGCCGGCGGCTTACCATGAAGAACTGGCAGAGCGTGATGTGGGGGAAGATGTTGTGCGCCTTGTTCTTCCCGCAGATCTGCTTCGACTGCTGCCAGAAGTCCGAGAGCTTCTGGGCGAGGGGGCCGGTGGGGCGGAGGTAGAGGACGTACTCTCGGGGCAGCGGGTCGTCCAGGAACGGGTCACCAACGTGGGAGAACAGCCTGGGGGCAGAGGGTGGGCCGGCAGGTGGCTTAGGGGTGAAGGTGCTGGACTCCCACATATCTGCCACAGTTCGAATCCCAGACCCGGCGGCTTGCGATCTCGCTCTCCCCCCCAACCCCACTTTGGTCAAAATAAAAAAATAATAATAAAATAATAAATAATTCTTTAGGAAAAAATAAAGATGGAAGGAGCCAAGAGGGCCTTGCTTGAGGATACCAGAAGGGGGCACGCCTGCCCTCCTGGGCTCCCCACCCCGAAATGCACTCCATAGTGCGTTCCAGAGCTTGGGTGTACCAGTTCCTGCTCCCCTGTGGCCACACTGCCCCTTTGCCCCCCTAGAAACTCCTGACGCTGCTTCCAGGAAGCACTCTCGGGGAAATCCCAAATCCTACACCCTTTCAATGGCCCCCTAGCCTCACTCCAACCCACCCGGTCCCTTAGTTCAGTCTCGGTTAAACCCAGGTGCCTCCAAGGAGGAGGGAAACTCCCAGGAGGCTGCTGCAGCTGGGCCCCGGGCAGGGATCCCCCGAAGACAAGCGGGAGGTTTTCCTAAATTGATTTGCCCAGCGTCCACACACCCGCGTGAGTCTGTAAGTGACTGGGGTGGGGGCGGATACGGTGAGAGAGCTGAGAGAGCATCTGTCTTGGAAATAGCCTGAATTTCTTTAAACAGCCCCCAGGAACAGCACACCCGGGGCCAGGGCAGAGGAGGCAATTGACTTGATAAATGGGCCTGTCACCCGGTCTCCTGGCTCCTCTCCTCCCTGGAAGGGTCCACTGAAGAGAGACGCCACAGCCCCGCTCACCCACACGCACTCCGAGTTAATTACATGCTATTTCCCAGTTTGTTTATCTCGTACCCACCAGTCACAAGCTGCCTGAACGCTTCTTCCGCCCGTGGATGCCAAGGCTTTTTGTCTGGAAGAAGAAATCAAATTTCCATTGTTAGTATTTTTAGCCTCCCCCAGCGTTGCTCACGGCAGTGGCGAGGGTTGGGGGCAGACCAAGCCTGTGCGCCACTCACTCTTCTGGGGCGAAGGGTCCAGCAGCCAGACCCCCACCCCCAGGGTTGCCGTGAGGCCTGTGGAAGTTAGGACTCGGAGTTTATTTCCATGGAATTAGCACCGGGTTTGCATGCAGCACCGCAGCTCACGCAGTCTGTTCTCAGCAGTTTCCACATTAGGGTTTATTTTTGCTTCTCTGAAGGTTGCCATGGCTTGTTTTCCCTCGTTCCTCTTCTCCCACTCCTTCGTACTGACCCAGATCCCCCCAGAACACAGAACACACACTCATCCGCAGCCCCTTGGTGGGAGGGGCTGGACAGCGGGGCTGGTGGCTCTGAGACGTGGGCTGAGTGCCCACGATGGGGCGCCATGGCCAGCTCCAGGGCAGACACCCCTGGGGATGAGCGGCCTGGTAAGGGCATGGCCAGGGGCAGCAGCCCCTGCCACTTCTGGAGGGACAACTCAAGGCCCCCAGGGTGGGTCGGTCTCCACGGGATGGCTACAGCAGCGAGGGCCTGGAGCACAGCTGGCAAGCAGAGCTCATCTGAAACTTCAACAGGGCTCCAGGAGCCAGAGAGTTCTGAGCTCGGACCAGCATGGCTGTCTACCCATCCCTGCATTCGCCTGAAAATGCCCTCATGCTTGCATTCGACCAGGGCCTGTTGACTCCTGGCTGTTCGCTCAGCACCACGCCGGCCTCTGGGAATACCACGGTGAGACAGCCCTGTACTGTCTCTATCCCCAGGGAGGCTCCCCCTGCCCCAAAGTTTCTTTTATTTTTTTCCTTCCTGAAAGAAATAGAGACAGACAGACAGACAGAGACAGGAACCCCCAACAGGGCATCCACGCTGCAGCCCACCCTCTGCCTCAGCCAGCTCTGGACCGCAGACACGCATGCCTGGTGTGTTCAGAGAGTCTCTGCACATGAACTGGGAGCCTCCCCCTGCACCGGTCTCCAGAGGTTCGAGTTACCACTGCACCACTCTCCAGTCCCTCCCGGAGTTCTCAGTGCAGTAGGTGTGGAAACATGAGCCCCACAGCGAATTATTTAATGACGCCGGTGGTCAGTGCAATGGAGGGAAAACAGAGGGAACCATAAGGACACACGGTAGGGAGTGCTGACCTGGTCTCAGGGCCAGGGGGCTGTACTGAGGAGGTGGCATTCTGAGTGAGACCTGATGGGTGTGGACACATCTAGGTGGCTGTGGAGGTGGACGACACCTAGTACATCCTCTTTATAGGGATTCTACAGATTAAACAAGCCACGGGACCAGCAGATGGTGTAATGGTTATGACATTGGACTCCTGCGTACTTGACCACGGTTTGAGTCCCAGATCCGGTGGCTTAAAACTCACGCTGGATGCATATGCATGCGTGCCCAAAATCCAGAGGAGAGAATGGAGGAGAAGGGATTGTGGCATGGCCATACCCCTTGGGGGTGAGCTCTCACTTTCTGTCTCTCTGGAGGGGCAGGTGCCCTATAGCAAAAATCTCTCTAAAAATAAATAAGTAAAAAATAAATACGCCAATGTGCACGAGGAGCCCTGGGCAATGTCTGGTGCATTGTCAGTGGCCCATAAGCACTGTCCCTAACCCCGTACACTATGCCGATTTGAAGTCCTTGGGAGGGAGAAGAGAGCAGGGATTTGCACTGAACTGAAATTTTCTTCTTCTTTTTAAAAAAGAGTTATGTATTTAATTGTATTTACTATTATTACCTTAAAATTTGCTGTAGGGCACATGCACTCACCAGAGAGAGAGAGACTGGGAAAATGAGAAAGCAAGCCACCAGGTCCAGGACTTGAACCGCCATCAGCTATGTAGGAGTGCAGTGCTCCAACCACCACACCACGTGCTCCTCCCCTGACACTTTCCAAGCATTGTTTTCCCGATTGGCGGCTGAACCCAACTCCTCCGGCCTTTTCCTACCCCTCTATGGAGCAATCGGAACAACTGAGTCCACGAGAATCATGGGGTCCGACTGGAAGGAGCCTCAAAGACCACCCGCAACTCCAACCCCTTCATTTTACACAAGGGAAAACTCGGATGGGAAGAAGCGAAGAAACTTGCTAACACAACCTGGTTACAGCGACGCTGAGTGGAGGCCAGGCTCCCTCTCCTGCTCCACGGCCAACAGACAAGTTACAGACCTTCCGTTCCTCCAGGAGAAGCCGAGGGCTGATACCACAGGGCCAGGACAAAGAACCCGCACAATTAACTAGGATGACACTGTGAAGGACACGCCTTCCCGGCAGGCCGAGGTACAGAGAGACCCGCTCTGAGCAGAGGCTGGTGCAGAAAATGCTAGAAGCAAGAGACCCCCAAATGCTGTGACCAGGTGTCTGTTTCCTTCCTGCTCACCGGGCAGAGGACACACACCTCGCTCTTCTTGGTGCAGAAGCCACATACCCACCAAAGAGCACAATCGTGGCCTTTCCGAGGTGAGAATCACAGAGGGGTGAAATTCACCGAAACAGCCCGTCCTGTTTCCACGTCCGGGAAGGAAAGCTCACTCGTGTTGCAGACAGCGTGCTCTGTAGGAAAAGGACCCGATTTCTTTTCCCTCTGCCCTTCCCCCAGTGAAACATAGCTGACTGAAATTTCATTTATTGCTTTGGAAGAGCAAGAAGCAGCTTCCGGAAATGAAAGATCTAATTAAGCGATGGTTTCCATAACCCAAAAGACATGTTTTGGACAGATTTCAAAGAAAAATTGAGAAAGATAATATCAGGTTTGGGTGATGAGGCTGTGAAGAAGGGCTAAGGGAATCCAAATTCTCTTTTTCTGAGGAAGACAAGTCCAAGGGGCCCTCCAGTGTGGGGAAGCTTCTCATATCCGAACCACCTTCCCTAGTGAGGGCCAACCAAATAAAATAAGCTTTGGCTACAGCCCAAAGGGCTCGTGTTAGCGACCAGACAGAAATTTCTAGTAGTAATGGGCTTTAATGTGTGCTTTTTAGGAGTTTCTAGAAAATAGTTATCTATCCAAAACAGGGGAGTGCTCTAGGCGGGAGATCGCAGGAAGAATAAAGTCACCTTCTCCGGAGGGGCGTGAGCCGCAAACCGCGTTGCCCCTGTCTGACTGCCTGGTGGGGGATGCTGTGGGGTGAGCTGGTTGCCAGAATCCTGCCCACAGAGCAGACAGAACTCGCGAGGTGGAAGCAGGCTCCCCCTCTCCACACAGCTGAAGGGAGACGGTTGCCATAGAGCCCCACCTCCAGGGACTGGCCCACGGGCAAAGCCAAGGGCAAGTGGGAGGTGGGGGGTGGATCCCCGAGCCCCGGGCTGGGCCTGAACATCTGCCACCCTTGGGGTGACTCAGAAGTTGGCAGAAGGATGACATCAGAGACTGTCTCTGACTTCAGGCAGATAGAAGAGGGTCATCCTTCGCTCTACACTGAAATGCCAGGAGCCTAGTCACTGGGTTGTCACAACAAATGACAACAAAGCCCTTTTTTTACAAAAAGGTTTTTGCCACTGGCCATGTGTGTTCTCCAGGAACACAGAGACAGAGAGAGACAGAGAGGGAAAGTGAGAAACCATCCTCCACGGGGGATGGCCACGCTGCAATTCCTTCTCCTTCCTCCTGAGATTTTGGGTATACACACACACGTACCCAGCATAATTTTCAAGTCGTCAGGTCCAGGACTTGAACCATGATCGGCCACGTGCAAGTCCAGTGCCTTAACCACTGTCCCATCTGCTGGCCCCACAGCAAGTGATGACCGGTTAGAATTGGTGGGACTGTGAGTTGTCTAGTTTCTGTTGTGTTCTAACTCACATTTCACTTCGGAACACGGGCCAGCCCATCCCAGTTAGTCCTAAAACTGGTTCGTAGCAGAATATGAAAAGAAAAACTGACGCGAATGCTCATGACTACTAACAAGGGGGACGAGCCCCACACACGAGATAAAAGCCATGGCTGATCACATTTGAGCGTGTTGCCAAAAGGGGCAGAGGCTGTGGCATCTGCCAGGGCCTGGCTGCCTCTGGCTGGGAGCCCCCTCACCTCTGCAGCAGCTCCACTGGGTTTTGGGCTCCAGACAGGCCTGGCCCCAGGGCCAACTGTACCCTTGGGCCTTTGAAGGGTGTTTGGAAAGGAAAAACGCCTTGGTGAGTTTGCCTGTGAGCAAAGATGGCTGACTGTTCTTTCTAGACTAAGATGCTTGCCAAAGGGCCTGGGAGAGTTGGCTTCAGGCTAGGGACCGTGGGCTGCTCCTCGTCCTGACCTCGCATGGTACACCAGACGAATAGCGAATAGCGAGGCCTACTACCTACATTCAGACCTTCTTTTCTTCTCACTCCAAGTCTCTTTTAGACAAAGACTTGCACATTTAACCCATTCCTAACCTAAGAAATTCTATGCCCACCCATAACCTACAAGTCCTCGCTTCTACATGTCCCACCTTCTTGAGCCAGGATGATGAAAAGGCTCCTTACACTGATTCACACCTTTGTGTCTCCTGTTCTCAGAAATAAATAAAAGAACTGTTGTGGGGTCAGTAGGTGGTGCAGTGGTTAAGGCGCTGGACTCCCACATGGCTAGGTGGTTCGAGTCCCAGGCCTGGTGGCTTGAAACTCACGTTGGGTGCATGTGCGTGCATCCCCAAAACCCCGAGGGGAGAGTGGGGAGAGGGCATTATGGTGCGACTGTCCTCTCCGCAGGGTGATGTCTCGCTCTCTGTCTCTCCCTCTATCTAGTGAGCACACGTGCCCTGTAGCAAAAATCTCTAAGAAAAAACAAAAAGAACTGCTGCGTCTGAACACCATGGGAAGCATTTTTGTGCTTCTCAAGGTCGTGCTTAGAATAAACCACGCTAATAATTATTTCCTCAGCGCTTGGTTATTTTCATCATCACCTGAGACAAAGTAATGGTTTTCTCTCCTCCCTCCCCTCTTTTTCCTTTTTATCCC